AACAAAGCATGCGGGTCTGTTAGGGGTTTGGGCCAGCCCCACACCTGTTTTTGCCTTCTGTGGGGCTGCGGAGTCCCCTCTGCAGGACATGGAATAGAGCTGCAGGGGCAGAGCTCTGGCTGGGTTTGGTGAGGGCGGTCATGTATGGACGAAGGTCTTTGCTTTGCCTGTGCTGTGGGTCCCAGCAGCGGGAGGGTGGGATGGGGCCAGGGGCAGGCGCTGACCCTGTGTGTGGCTGTCCCTGTGCTGCAGCACGGCCGAGCGTGTCCTGCCAGGGGCAGAGTTCCACCGGTACGTGAAGGGGCAGCGCAGCGTTGTGCGCTCCCCGCGCCCCTACACAGTCCCCACGGAGCTGGTGGAGCACCTTGACTTTGGTACGTCCTGCACGGGGAGCCCTGAGTTCCCACTGCCTGGGCAGGGGGAGGGAGGCTACAGCATTGAGCAGCCAGGACTGACCACAGCAGTGTTCCGGAGGGCAGGAGCAGGGCCTCCAGGCTGCTCTGGGCCCCCTGAGGGGCTTTGTGCATGCCCCATCCCTGACAGTGTTCAAGGCCAGGTTCGATGGGGCTTGAAGCCACAGATTCTATGGAAAAACAACCTGTGCCGGGGTCCAGCTTCCCTCCTCCTGTCAGGTCCTGCAGGGGATGGCAACCCCTGTGGGACACAAAGCCTGAGTGAAGATGGTGAAGGGCGAGCCAAGGGACCATGATACCATCCTGCTGCAGCTCTGGGCTCTAACAGCCACTTCTTTTCCTGCTTGTTTGTGCACCAGTGGGTGGCCTGCATCGGTTCCCTGCAGAGAGAAAGATGGTCAGCAGAGCCTGGATCAAGAAGGAGCTGGAGCAGCACCGTGGAGGGAGAGCAGCTTTCCATCTGGGAGTGACACCTTCCATCCTTCGTCAGAGATACAACATGACGAAGGAAGACGTCGGGCTTCTGCCAAACAACAGCCAGGCCTGTGCCCAGGTAACTGGTAGAGCTGGTAGGGAATTCCGTAGGGAATTCCAGCCATTGATGCGTCTCCAGCACTTCCCTGCTGTGCTGGTCCCTGGGCAGCGGGGGGGCTTCCTCAGGGGCTGGTGGGAGCACTTGGTGGGCTCGAGCTTTGTGGGACCTCTGGGGCAGCTTCGAAGTGGGGAGAAAAACAACTCAATTTCTCAAGAGAAAATGAGAGGCCGCTTGTCCTTCCCTTGTCCCACAGTTCCTGGAGCAGTACTTCCACCAGGCTGACGTGGCCGAGTTCATGAAGCTCTTTGGCAGCAGCTTTAGCCACCGCACTCAGGTTGACCGAGTCGTTGGGCACCAGGGCATGGGCAAGGCTGGGCTGGAGGCCAGCCTGGATGTGGAATACATCATGAGCACGGGTGCCAACATCTCCACATGGGTCTTCAGCAATGCAGGTACTGCTCCCCTACCAGGGATGTCCTGTGACTGCTTCCATGCATCCCACTGCTGCAGCACCAGCACAAGTGCCTGTGCTGAGGGAGCATCACTCTGCTGGTGTCTGCCCAAACACACACGAGCTGCTGTGGTGCACCATGGAATCATCATCCCAGACTGGGTTGGGTTGAAGGGACCTTAAAGCTCCTCCAGCTCCAACCCCTGCCACGGGCAGGGACCCCTTCCACTGGAGCAGCTTGCTCCAAGCCCCTGTGTCCAACCTGGCCTTGAGCACTGCCAGGGATGGGGCAGGTACAGCTCATGCTGCTGAGATGAGCCTAGCAAAATGCTTTCCCACATAGGACAGGGAGGGACCTTGTGGGCTTCCAAAGTTGGGGCTGCTGCTGGTATCTAATTGCTCACAGGGAAATCATTGCACAAGTTTGTGTAGCTGCTTTTGAGATGGTGTGAACTCTATCCTGTAACAGGCACTTCCACACCTCAAGTACACAGTGTAATGCATTACCCCACTCCGCTCCTTTTCCATGGGGCGAGAGCACAGCGACCCTGTCCTACTGTTACTTTTTCTGCTTGCTTGGGGCTGAAGGTTGAATCTGTCGGTGCGGAGGATGGAGGAGGGGAAGGAATCTGTAAAACCAGGCTTGCAAAACAGCCTGCACCAGCAGGGCCTGTGGTGTTGTCTGTTCCAGATCAAAAACTGGCTGAACAGGAGCGGGGGTGCCCTGAGGCCTGGCAGCTCTGCCCTCCCAGCAGAATGTGAGCAGCCAAGAGGGGAGGGCTCTGCTCCCACCTCATGGAGAGGGATGAGAGGCCTTGGGCAGGTGGAGGTGGAATCATCCTTCCAGGAGCAGAGACTGGATGGAGCAGCCCTGAGGAGAAGGACTTGGGGTGTTGGGTGAGGAGAAGCTCCCCATGACCCAGCTTCAGTGAGAGCTTGAGCCCAGAACCCCTCCTGTGTGCTGGGTGCACCCCCAGAGCGTGAGCAGCAGCTCAGGTAGGGGATCCTGCCCCTCTGCTCCACTATGGGGAGACCCCCTCTGCAGTCCTGATTGAGCTCTGGGACAACAGCACAGGAGGGACGTGGAGCTGTTGGAGCGAGGCCAGAGGAGGCCATGGAGCTGCTGTGAGGGCTGGAGCAGCTCTGCTCTGGAGCCAGGCTGAGAGAGCTGGGCTGGGGCAGCCTGGAGAAGAGAAGGCTCCTGAAGGGGAGACCTGAGAGCAGCTCCAGTGCCTGAAGGGGCTGCAGGAAAGCTGGAGAGGGGCTTGGGACAAGGGCCTGTAGGGCCAGGCCAAGGGGAATGGCTTTAACCTGCCCAAGGGGAGACTGAGCTGAGCTCTTAGGCAGAAGCTCTTCCCTGGGAGGGTGCTGAGGCGCTGGCACAGGGTGCCCAGAGAAGCTGTGGCTGCCCCATCGCTGGCAGTGTTCAAGGCCAGGTTGGACACAGGGGCTTGGAGCAAGCTGCTCCAGTGGAAGGTGTCCCTGCCCGGGGCAGGGGTTGGGGCTGGATGGGCTTTAAGGTCCCTTCAACACAAACCAGTCTGTGATTCCATGATTGTAAGATTCAGCTCCTGGTGCTGATGGTGCTGCTGAGGCATGCTCACCCTCTTTTATCCCTCATGTCTCCTCGAGTCTTGTGGTCCAAGGAGCTGAACTTTCCTCCCCATGTGTCTGCAGGGAGACACGAGAGCCAGGAGCCCTTCCTGGCCTGGCTGCTGCTGCTCAGCAACATGTCCTCATTGCCCTGGGTGCACTCTGTCAGCTACGGGGACGACGAGGACAGCCTCTCGGTGGCCTACATGGAGCGCATCAACGTGGAGTTCATGAAGGCGGCTGCTCGTGGCTTGACCATCCTCTTTGCCTCTGGTGCGTGCTGGTGCCGGTGCTGGTAGCAGTGCTGGTGCAAGTTCATCCAAGCATCCCAGTGCACTGGGGAGTTCCATGGTTGGGATGTTCTGCCCCTGGGCAGCCGGGATCCCCCAGGAATGCTGTCTGGGATAACCCCCTCCGTCTGTGCCAGCAGGTGATGATGGTGCGGGGTGCAGGAGGGTGCGCAGTGGGAACCACACGTTCCGCCCCAGCTTTCCAGCCTCCAGGTAGATGTGGGGAGAAGAACATGGGTCCTGTGGAGGTCTGGGTCTCCACACAGAGCCGCTGCTGCTGGTGGTACTTGGAGCCCCAGCTTGGGCCAGTGCCAGTGTAGGGCTGGTTTTGAGCTGCTGTGGAGACTCCTGGGGGTCACCCCAGTGACCTGCCTGGGGACACTCAGAGACTGGAGCTGGGAGCGCTGGGAGTGGGTGGTGTGTGGGGTGACCCTGCAGTGCCCCCCATGTTCCCCCAGCCCCTATGTCACCACTGTGGGTGGAACAACCTTCAAGAACCCCTTCCTGGTGACGGCTGAGGTGACCGACTACATCAGCGGCGGTGGCTTCAGCAACGTCTTCCCCATGCCCCAGTACCAGGTGAGGCAGCGCTGGGGCTGCAGCCAGGGCTTGGGGTGCTCAGTGAGGTGATGGGGGCTCCAGGGTCTGGAGCTGAGCCCTTGTCCTGTCCCCAGGCCGCTGCCGTGGGGCAGTTTCTGCGGTCGACTCCGAAGCTGCCACCCAGCTCCTACTATAACAGCAGTGGCCGAGCCTACCCTGACCTGGCTGCCCTCTCGGACAACTACTGGGTGGTGACGAACCGCATCCCCCTGCCCTGGGTGTCGGGGACCTCGGTGAGGATGTGGACCTGCGGCCTGCGGTGCTGAGGTGCTTTGGTGCTCACGTCCATCTGCTCCAACTCCTCGCTTGTGCCGCAGGCGTCCACGCCGGTGGTGGGAGGCATGGTGGCTCTGATCAACGACCGGCGGCTGCAGCAGGGGCTTGCACCCCTCGGCTTCCTGAACCCCGCGTTGTACCAGCTGCGGGAGCAGGGCCACGAAGACGCGCTCTATGACGTGAGCTGGGCAGGGGGGTGTATGTTGGGTGCTGGGGAACCGGGGCAGCTGTGGGGCCAGGGGGCCGGGGCTGCTGGGGGGCACTGGGGCTGCAAGGGGGGCCGTGGGGCTGGGGGCTACAGCGAGGAAGTGGCCATTGGGCTGGGGCTGGCGGAGGGGGGGGCGGCTCATGGAGTGGGTGCTGGGCCCATCCCGGGGCTGCTGTCAGGGCCGGGGGCATGAAGCTGCTGTCCCACGGTGCTGGGTCCGGGGGCGCGCTCCGCGGGGTGGGGGGGCGGGCTCCGGGTGTCCGCGGGGGCTCGGTCCGGGCCGGCGGTGCCCGGTCCGCTGAGGGCTGTCCCTGCAGGTGACGCAGGGCTGCCATGTGTCGTGCCTGGACGGCGCCGTGCAGGGACAGGGCTTCTGCGCCGGCCCCGGCTGGGACCCGGTCACGGGCTGCGGCTCCCCCAACTTCCCGCGGCTGCTGCGGGCGCTGCTCACCGGCGCCGCCAGGGGGCGCCAGCAATAAACGCACCGCTCTGCGCCCGCGCGTCCGAGTCTGTGCCCGGCGACGAGGCGAGCGGGTGGGGCCAATGGGGTGACGAGGTGGGCGGGATGGAATGGCGGAGCCAATGGGGCCGCAGGCTGTGCGCAGGCGCAGCGGCGGTGGGCGGTGCCGGTGCTGCGCGGCGGCGGGCGATGAGCGGCAGCGCCGAGGCCGACCCGTCGGCTCCGGCCGCCCCTGCGCCGCCCGCTCCCGCCGACAGCAAAGCGAGCCCCGGCAGCGGCCCCGGGGCGGCCCCGGGCGCGGTGGGCGGTGCGGTGCGGGGCCGGGCGCGGCGGGCGGGAGGGGGCCCGGGGAGCGCGGCCGGGCCGGGAGCGGGGGAGCGGAGGGCAGCGGCCGAGCCCCGGGGGAGCGCGGGCCGGGGACGCGGGGGTCCGGGGCAGGCCCGGGGGGTTCGGCCGCCCGCTGAGCGCTGTGCCCACAGGCCCCGTGTCGGCGGCGGTGGCCGCGGCCCCGCCTGAGGGGACCATGTCCAACGGGATTTACGTGCCGCCCGGCGTGGCCAACGGCGACGTGAAGCCGGTGGTCTCCACCACGCCGCTGGTGGACTTCCTCATGCAGCTGGAGGATTACACACCGACGGTACGGGCGCGCCAGGGGGGGGCTGGCGCCGGGGGCGGCCCTGTTCCTCCCGCCTCTCTCTCCTGCAGATCCCAGACGCCGTCACCGGGTATTACCTCAACCGGGCGGGATTCGAGGCCTCGGACCCGCGCATGTGAGTGGCCGCGGGGAGGGGGGCGGCCGCCAGGTCCCGGCAGGGCTCCAGTCCCCGGGGGTGTCCCCCTTGGCTCCCTCGGCAGCTCTGGTCCCGTCTCGCCCCGCAGCATCCGCCTCATCTCTCTGGCTGCACAGAAGTTCATCTCGGACATCGCCAACGACGCTCTGCAGCACTGCAAGATGAAGGGCACAGCCTCGGGCAGCTCCCGCAGCAAGAGCAAGGTGGGAGCAGCCACTTGGATGGGGAAAGCATTCCCCAGGGCTGGACCGTCTCAAAGAGCCCCCAGTGGGCACTGAGACGTGCAGAACGTCTGCAGTCTGCTGTGCCTTTGAAAGAACAGCACATGAATAGCCCAAGGCTGTGCTGCTGGCAAAGTGGTGCTGTGAGGGAATGAGGTGGGCAGGATTTATGGGATAGGCTTTGGAGGCTTCACGGAATGTGTGAACAGCCACACCTTGTGTCCTGTCCTGCCTCTGACAGCAACTAGAACTCTGAGGATTGTAGCGGTAGGACAAGGGACCTGAAACAGGAAGTTCAGGTTAGATCTAAGGCAGAAGCTCTTCCCTATGAGGGTGCTGAGGTGCTGGCACAGGGTGCCCAGAGAAGCTGGGGCTGCCCCATCCCTGGCAGTGTTCAAGGCTTGGAGCAAGTTGCTCCAGTGGAAGGTGTCCCTGCCTGTGGCAGGGGTTGGAGCTAGAGGAGCTTTGAGGTCCCTTCAACCCAAACCATTCCAAGAGTCTGTACTTGGGAAAGAACATGAACAGGGCACAAGGCTGGTTCTGGGGATTCTCCCAGTCATCACCTGTCATGGGTCAGGGCTTCAGGATGGTCCCGATGGGATTTCTCTTTATAAAATGGAGCAGCACTTGGCCTCTCTCTGCTCACTGAGGGCGCAGAGCAAAGCAAACATAGGAGCTTGTGAACGCCCAAAGCCGGGTGTGCAGCTGCTCATGGTACTGGGGCCTGTGCAGGTCACACCAAAACCCTCCTGGGTGTGAGGAGTTTGGGTTGCCCCGGCTGGGACTGACAGCACTCCTTGTTCTTGCAGGACAAGAAGTACACACTGACCATGGAAGACCTGACACCAGCGCTTGCGGAGTACGGCATCAACGTGAAAAAGCCCCATTATTTCACATGAGGACTGAGGGGTATTCACTGGAACTTCAGGTCACTTCTCTGCCATTAAACAGGGGGCTTTGATGGGGCAGTGTCTTGTCTCCTGCCCTGCCTGCAGTGGAACAGCACAAGCTGCTGGCCAGTGCCTCTGTTCTCATCACATCACCACAGGTTACTGTTGTGCCTTTGGAAGGTGAGGAGGGGGTTTGGCAACTGGTTCCAGTTGCATCCTGTGCCCTTCCCAGAAGGCTTATTCTTGCCCCGGGGGCCTGCAGGGAATGTGTGGTGGGACTAGGGCTGCCCACGTTTCTCCCACCCAAGCATCTCTCGACTCTCCAGAGGATGCTTGGGTGCTGCACAGCCCTGCAGCCAGAGCTTGGACCTGTCCCCCATGAGAGGAGGGTGCTGATGGCCCCGCTGCCTCCCTCCCAGCACTGGGGGAGGTTTGGCACAGCCGCAGAGCCCAGACCCTGTGGAATGTTGGCAGCCCCTGTCCATCTCCCACCCTCCCTGCGCCCCAAGCACTCTTCACAGCAGCTTTGTAACAAACGTTTATTTGGGATGCTGGCGGCTTTTCCATGTGCCCTGGATGGAAAACCAGGGAGTGAAGCGCAAAGCCCGGGGTGTGCAGCAGGCAGAGCCCCCTGGCTGCTTGGGGAGGAGAGCTCCAGCACCCTGCCCAGTCCCAGGGCAGCAGAGCCCATGGCCAGGCCTCCTGACCCGGCTGCTCACAGCTCTGGGGAGGGTGGAGGTTCTGCCCTGGGCTTGGTGCTGCAAGTGCCTGGAGCTGGCGACGTGGCCCCGGCAAGGGCAGTGGTGTCTGTACCGTGTCCGTGGCTGGCGCGGGAGGGGGATGGTCCCTGCTCCCCCCGGCACTGGATTAGAGAAGGCACTTGGGGGTGGTAGGGGAAGCGTGGCAGCGCAGGGGGGTATCACCCTCTACTTCTCCTGCATCTTCTCCAGGATGGGCACGATCATGTCAAACTTGGGGCGCTTGGCTGGGTCCTCGTTCATGCAGATCTTCATCAGCTTGCAGATGTGTGGGGAGATGCCGGGAGGGATGGTGGGACGCAGCCCCTCCAGGGCCACCTTGAGCAGGGGAAGAGAGGGGCAGGATCCCAATCCAGGCCCTGCGTGGGCTGTGCAGAGCCCACACCTCTGGGATAGGGGGTGGTAACAGGCTCCCTGCCAGTGGGTCTTCCTCCCCAAGGGCTGCCTGTTCCTGGCTTATCCCTGCCCTTTGCTGAACCCTCTCCTCACCTTCATGCCTATCTCCATGTTGGACAAGTCTGCAAAGGGCACCTCCCGCGTCACCAGCTCCCACAGCAGCACGGCGAAGCTCCACATGTCAGCTGAGCGCCTGTTGATCTCTTCTGGCTTTTTCTGCAGGGCTGCAGGGAACCCAGGGCAGGATTGGATGGGTCCTGTGCTTGCACCACAACCACCCCATGCACTGCTCCAGGCCTGGGGAACTGTGGCTGGAAACTGCTCATGGGAAAAGACCTGGGGATACGATTGATGGAGCTGAACATGAGCAGCTTGTGCCTGACAGGAGGATGGAGCCAGGAGGGGCTGGGCTCTGCTCCCAAGGAACAAGGGAGGGGACAAGAGGAAACAGCCTCAAGCTGCAACAGTGCAGGTTTAGATGGAGCTGAGGAACAATTCCTGCCCCAAAGGGTGCTCAGGGCAGGACTGCAGTCACCGTCCTGCAAGGGTTCACACCCCGTGGAGGCGAGGCCTCAGTGCCATGGGGCAGTGGTGGCCTTGGCAGTGCTGGGAGCAGTTGCACTGGATGACTCCTTCCCAGCCCAGCTGGTTCTGTGGCACTGTGAGGAGAGTGAGGAAGGGCCAGGAGGTGATGCCAGGCACTCACCTTCAGGTGCCACCCAGGCGGGCGCGTACATCCTGCCTGGGCACTGGAAGGAGAACTTGACGTCGGCCATGCTGATCCGCGCCGTCATGTCCTCATCGATCTGGGGGGGGACACTGGTGAGAGGGAGCCCTGCCCGTGCCTGCGGGGGTCAGGCTGCACTGCATGACCCTGGCACTCACCATGATGCTGCGGCTGTTGAGGTGGTGGCGCGGGATGAGCGGCTCCAGCGTGTGCAGGAAGGCCATGCCCCGTGCAATGTCAAAGGCGAATTTCACCGCCTGCATCTGGTCCACCACAAAGTCTGCAGGGAGGGAGGAGGTGACACGTCATGGGGAGAGTCCCTGGGACATGGACCCAGCTCACCCTGCGCTGGGGTTGCAGCTGGAGAAACCCTAAACACACCAGAGAGAAGGGGAGACCGGCTGTAGGCGCCAGTGCTGTCATCCCTGTGGGCACTCACTTGTCCCCTCGTGCAACACATTGTAGAGGGACCCATAGGGCATCCAGTGGCTGATGATGATGGGATGTGGCGCTGGGGGGGCCTGGCAGGCACCCAGCACCGGTAACACATTGGGGTGAGAGAAGATCCTGCAAGAGAATCGTAGAATCAACCAGGTTGGGAAAGAGCTTCAGACTCACCCAGTCCAACCATTCCCAGCACTGCCAAGGCCACCACTGCCCCATGGCACTGAGGCCTCGTCTCCCCGGTGTGTGAGCACTCGCAGGGACGGTGACTGCAGCCCTGCCCTGGGCAGCCTGTTCCAATGCCTGAGCACCCTTTGGGGGGCAAGCACCAGCCCTGAGGGTGGCAGGTGCTCCCCACAGCCCCCCTGCACGGCTCCTGTGCCATGTCCTGCCCATGTCGGAGCCCGGCCTCAAGCGCCGCTGCCCTGGGGCAGACAAGGTTGGTGCTCACCGCAGCTTCGGGTATTCCTCGTTGAAGTCTCGGCTCTTCCGAGTTGTCCAGTCACGAATTTTGAGCATTTTGATGATGATGTCGTTGCCCTGCCAGCGCCCCTTCCACAGCTGCAGGGACCAGACGAGACAGTGGAGACACTGCTGCGAGCGACCCACGGCCCCCGAGCACCTCCCAACCCTTCATGGGGCTATGGGGTCCTCAGGATGGGTGCACAGTGACATGAGGTGACAGTGACACAGCACGAGAGCAGTGCCTGCCCAGCCCCGCGCCTGGCTCTGGGACCCCCTGAGGCATCCATGCCTATCCCTGCACCCAGCAGGGATGGAGCAGGAGCAGGGCTCTGCTGGAGGCAGTGCTCCCCCAGCCACACACCTCCCCCGACTGGTTCTCGTTGAGTTTCTGGCTCAGGATGAGCTGCTTGAAGTCGATTCCAGCGAGTTTGTTGAGAGTCCCGTTCCCTGTGGGAAAAGGAGGGCATGGAGCCTGCGGGCCTGGGACCTTCCCACCCCCCGGGAACAGCCCTGCCCAGCGGGAGGGCTCTGGCCTTACTGGGGCGCGTGCGTGTGGTGCCCTTCCAAAAGGTGTCCTTGTAGGGGATCTTGGTGAGGCTCTGCCCCAGCTTCTCGGCGCGCTCTGCAGGGGACAAGGGGTTGGCAGCGCTGCCGGTGCAGGGCACAGAGGCTGCCGCGCCGTGCTGGGAACCTCCTACCTCTCAAGACTTCCCGCAGCGGTGGCTTGGCTTTGTCCATGGGTGTCTCACCGTACTTGTTGGCGATGCTGACCAAAGCCCCATTGCCCACCAGGTCCTGAGGGAGCAGGGAGCGGGTATCAGCATTTGCCATGCTGAGCCTCCTGCCTCGTTCCCCCCCTCCCCACCCATGTCCAAGTGCTTCCACTCACCTCCGCCACTGGATCATGGCCCCAGAAGCAGGCATAGTGCAGTGGTGTGTTCCCGTGCTCGTTCACGGCGTTGATGTCTGCTTTGAATTGGATCAGCTGGGGCAGGATGACAGTTCCTGTCAATCAAGAGCAGCTCCCCCCCCCCCCCCAGCACCAGGCCCTGCAGCAGCACCAGCACATCACCTGCTCTGGCACTGGCCAGGTCTGGGAGCAAGTTGAGGGTGAGGAGGGGCTTCTGTGGGGAGGGTGAAGGAGCTCAGATGTGGGGATACAGCAACTTCATGGCAAGGAACCCAGGAGGTGACAAAGGGGAGAGAGCCCTGGGTGGACCTGGAGGGAAAGGACCTGGGGATACTGACATGGAGCTGAACACGAGCAGCTT